AAGTATATTGATTACATCAGTTACACTCATCAAACTCATAATACAATTGATTCGAAAATAATTATTTAAAATTTGGAATAGATATATATTGATCAATAAGAATCGGTTAAAGTTAATTTGATATTTTGTTCAAATTTTTGTTCTCCTGATTTCAACCAAAATGTTGTCATTTCTCTTCCTTCTGCATTAATATCAGCACCAATAATAATTAAACCTGCTTTACATAATTTATCAAATTCTCCATGTGATGCTTTTGCTGGATCATATTTACATTCAAATTTCAATGGAAATTTATTATTGTGCCCTAGTTGTATCTTGGTTTCACCAAGTAAAATAGATCCATTAGATTTCGGATGTTCTTGAGCATTTTCTGTCTTTGGCACTTGTGATATATCTTCAATGTATACATGTAATGCTTCGTCATCACCAAATGATGGTTCTTTATTCGATGTAGATGAAGAAAAACTTAGATTAATCGTTCCATGAAGAACATTAGAAGACATTTTTATTTTGTTTTTGAAGTAGAAATATAATTTGATGGTTGAGTTGAGTAAACAGATGGATGAATGTGTCGTCTCATTAGATAAAGAAGAACAAAAATATTTTTTGTATTAAGTATAGTATCTCAGTGACGACTAACACGTGCTCTGTATATGTATTTTATACAGAAAGAAAGAAAAGCACATACGAATAGCCATATATTATTTAAACTACCTATTTTTTTTCTCAATGCACTGTCTCTCACATTGACGTTAGAGAGCGTACTAGAAGTTCGATATTATTTTTGTTTTTGTTTTTAAGTCTAGAAATATGTAAACATAAATCGATATTATAAAGATATAATAGATGAAACATCTTGTATATATTATGATTATATTTATCGACCACATACAATTCATCTTCTTTTAGTAGGTGACACAATATACACTTAACAATAATATTAAATAATTTAAGAGAACTTTATTTTCTGTTGTAAATGATCATAAAAGATAAAAAAAATGATCAAAATGAAAAGAAAGAAATTATTGCTCAGAACGATGGTGGTGATGACGATGGTGTTCTTCATGAATATATGTACCACCTTGTCCATATTTTTCATCAGCAAGTTGATGTGCTTGACTAACAGCTCGACGTTTTGCTTCTTCTCGATCAAGAAAATCAAGTCCTTTCGTTTCAAAAAGTTTATCAACTTCAGCTGCTGCAATACCTGCAAGCATTTCTTTCATCAACGGATGTGATACTTGCTGTCCAGTACTGGCAACATGCTTTTCATAAGCTCTCATAGCTGAATAAATAAAAAAAATATTATACATATTGAAAATAATATAAGCCTTACCTTCAAAGCCTGCTGCACCACCTATCAATTCGTGTGTCCATGATGATTCATGAGGACCACCGGATCCAAAAACACTTTGATGAGCTTCTTGACTACCGCCCATATTGAATAGATTATCGAAGAAAGACATTTTACTATAGATAGTTATGAGTGACTCTTGGTATTTATATAACGAAATGAAAAATAACCATTTATTTCGCGATTAATAACACATGAGTAGGCAGAAAACCGAGAGAGAAAACCTTTTCTCTTTTTTTTATATTAATTACATACTGTAATAACTTATTCATCCAGGTTTGAGGTAAAAATATTTTGATGATAAGCGTTACGTCAATGCTTATTCATTATATTCAAAAACAAGGACAACTAGAAATATCGACACATTACTAACGTTATTAGTGATAATGACGTTAAAATAACATAAATTAAGGTAAGATGATATTACTTGGAGTTCAATCAATAAGAAAAGCCTACCAAATACTTTCTTTATTTAAATATTTATCATTATTCAAAGTTAATTAAAAGCAGCTTACATATAGTAAAAAAAATATCGTATTTTCTTTTGATTATATTTCTTTACGCTGAAAAGAATATCATTTTTTAGTATTATAATACCTTTTCTATATTTATTATATAACTTGCAATCAAAATATTCACGAACAAATGTATGGTAGATAGATAGACGGTGTTGTTTTTTATATTTATTCATATGTATATCGATAAAAATCGATTTTCAACAATTGATCAGTATATTTTCATTAAACCATTAAAATCTATTTTGATTCGAAAAATACATATCGTTACACATTATTAAGATAAAAAAAAAAATTCAATATATCAAAATGAATGATAAATAAAATGCAAAAAATAACAGTAGTACAGGTGAACGAGTTATTGGTGTTGGCGTTGACGGACTTGCATTGAGTGGTGGTTATGAATGGAAATTAAATCATTATGGTCTTGCAATAGATAATATATACTTCAATATGAAGTAAGACTTTATTTTTATTAAATTAAAGATATTCAAATATATAACATAGACAGTTTATTTTAGCTTGTCACATCAAATGGTACACTCTAATTTCAATAGGCATACATTACTACAAACTGAAGTTTACGAAGGTGTTCTCTATTATGGTCCATCTGAAATTGATCAAGTATTGGCTGCTATTCTCAACTTTCAAAACAATAATACAGATTCTAAAGCTTAAATATTACCTTCATTTACTGGTGTAGCTGATGTGTTAAGTCTCAATATTATTATTTTTCACGATGCTCTAACAGATCCAAGAAGTATTTTCGAAGGAATCTAAAACAACTTCACATAGTAGTGAACTAAAAGTCTGTTTATATGTATCTCTCGTTGAAGCATTGCCCGTTGTTGCTGGTAAAAATATGTGGTAAATTTTATTATCAAAATTATTTACGGAAGAGCTTAGATTATCTTTTAGAAAATCTTATATTTTATAATCGAGATGTTACTATTAGAGCTAGATATTTCTTGCGACTTGAACAAAGGCTATCTTCAAAGAAAGATTTTTATCAACATATCCCATCGGTCACAGCACTTTTTTCTATTCTTATTAATTTTAGTTGGTAATCACCTATGAACGAACAAAATCTTATTAATGCAATATTATCAGGTGCCAATTCTCTTCTACAAATAACGCTTGAAGATGGTCAAGATGTAGGAGGATTAAAGCAGATTACTTATCCAAATTATGTTCTCGAAAGTACGTCTTTGTCACAGATGTATGGTGATAATGTGTTCAATTAAAAATTGTTCATCAAAAATGAGATTCAAACAATGTTATAAACTTAACCACAGGTTTTAAATTTTTATCATGTTATAAATGATGAAATAAAATAAAATACGTTACTTTTTTGGTTCATGTCAAGAATGTCCTTTAGGAAATGTCCGCGGACGGAATGTCCTTTTGTTTTTCGTCCTTACATATATATTTATGTGGAAGAACGAAAAACAAAAGGACATTACGTCTGAGGACATTTTCTAAAGGACATTCTTGACGGATACCACTTTTTTAATTATAAAGATCGCTAATTCTATCGTCAACTACTTGAAATCTCATTAATTTACAACGATGTCTTTAATTTTCTTTTGATCAAATACACGAACATAATAAAAATCTGTTTTGACAAACCATCAGCTATAAAATATTTATGATATTCTGATTATTTTCCATGAGAAAGTGAATCATATATAACTTTCTTTTAACAATTGACAAACATGAGTATATAAAGTTTTTCAATGTAAAAAAAACGCAGTAAATATTCTGCCATACCCACTTTCATCAATAAAAACACGTGCAAACGACATATATTTTGATGTTCTCTTCCTTTTTCACTAATGTGAATATAATAAAGTCATGCACACCACAAATCATGTATAGCACGTATACATATAAATAAGTACATTTTCATTATAAACTATTGAAAAACAACAATTTCTATTGATATTCGAATACTTTTGTAAAATGAATACGAATCAATTAAAACATATATCAGGTATGTATATAACAAAATATTTTTTAATTGAATACTAAATATAATCTTAATTATTCCATAATTCAACTAGTAACATCAAATAAGAAAAAGTGAGTATATGATTTAAAATTATTTTCATATTGTTTTTCTTGATATTTTTGATAGAATATCAACGACATCCATCGAATATTTATCTAATGAGATCTTTTATGAAATTTTTGATTATCTGGATGATTATGACATATTTGAATCATTCTCAAAACTCAATAATCGTTTTCAACATTTACTTATTTGTTTATTTCTACGGCTTAAGATTAAAATTAGTCATTTATCTTTACAAAATCGATTCATTCAAAATCGTTATATAGATTTTAATCTTAAACAAAGGTAAAAACATAATATACTCCTTTACTTATTAAATAATCTACATATTTCAGCCGTACGACTACTGACTTTTTATTAAATCATCTTGAATCATTACGTTTTATCGATATTGAATCAAATAATATTCCTCAACGTTTATCAATTTTATCTTTACTACCACGACTTATGTCATTAACTATTTTAATTGAAGATGATTTTAAAAATTTAAATGATATCTATCAATTAGTTTTCAAAATTCCTGCATTGAAATTTATTAAAATCTCATACAATCAATATAATCCATATATTCCATTACCAATTGCTACTATTTATCAAATAACTTCTATTGAACGTTTGAATATTAATCATACATGTCGAATTGTTAATCTCTTAACTATACTTTCATATACACCTCAATTATCGCATTTGACTTGTAAAGGTTTGATTGATTGGGATGAAGTTATTCAAGAATTTACAATAACATTACCTTATTTAACATATGTATCTCTTGGACTTTGTTTTATGCAATTTAATGAATTCGAAATCTTCATTAAAAAACTATCACATTGTTTAGAAGTATTAAAAATAAGTTTCTATGATAATAAGACTTACATTGATGCTAATCGATGGGAACAATTAATTTCACAATATTTACCTCAGTTACAAAAATTTTATTTTCGACATGATGAGATTATTGATAGTAAATTTAATGTAATAAAGTTTTATGAACAAATCAATCAATTTAACTCATTATTTTGGATCGAACGACAATGGATCTCGAATCTTTCTATTAGTATTAATGGTACCATCTGTAAACAAATCATGTTTTCAGTTAGTCCATATAAGTAGATAGGAATTCGAATTTTATTTTAGAAAGTTCATGTTTTATTTTATATAGAAAAAAATGGAATCAATCATCGGAATATATAGAAAATAATTCATACGATCACAGATTTAGTCCTATAAAACAGATACAGCATGGTGTAACTACAAGAGAATCATCAGCGCATAAATATCTTATGAAAAATTTTCAATCGGTCGATCTTATTATCAAATATTGGGATTTCAATAGATATGAAAATTCGATTCTATATAATGTTATTCCCATCTTGAAAATGACAAAAGTAACTCATTTGAATATTCGAAATGAACAATTTTTTATAGGATTATTTGTTAATCTTTTACGTATGCTGCCCGATCTGGAATCACTAGAATTAAAGACTTTATCAACAAAGGATTATAATAGTTCACCTTACGTATATGAAAACATTTTTAATTCATTATCAGCTAATAATAAGATTACAAAAATTCTATTGACATGTGCAAATGATTTCAAGCAAATTAAGTTTTTTATTGATCTTTGTCCGTATATACAATATTTTGAAATATATTGTTCAAATGATACTAATATTAAGTCACTTGTACAACTCATTTTAATGGATAATTTAAAACTCATACCTAATTTAAATATTTTATGTCTTTCCATTCCAACAGCAAATGATAAACTAGTTGACGAATTACAAAAAGTACTCAAACCTATGAATTTATATGCAAATTATATGGTTAAGCGTTTAGTTGATAAAATTCATATACAATCGAAATAAAAGAAATTTATTTTGACGATATGGAGTAGAATAATTCAATACAATAGAATTAAAAAGAGATTTTATCAATGTTGTATAATCTGAAAAGATTTTTAATAAAACAAATCTTATGTTTTTATGCATACATTTTTTTAATGTAATAGTTAATCCTAATTTGAATTTAAAATCTACGTATATATCAGTTTGAGAATGCTTGTAGTCGTGTTTCTTGATCATCTATCGAAGGTACAGAAGCGTAACGTCTCCCTGTCCTCGACACCTCAATACGCCCATGAGAAAATTTGTAAAAATTCTCATAAGAAAAGCTATTAGCCAGCTCAAGACAATATCCATTACACGCATAACAATTAACCATGTAGCAATTTTTGATTAGGAAATAAGCCAACATCTTACAATCTGTTGGTACAATTTTCCTTGGTGCAATATGAAATGGAGTATATATCTATATAATGACTAATATTATTTTCTGAAGGTCAAACACATAAAAGAAAAGTTTGACTATTTGAAAAAAAAAATTTATTCTATAATGTGCGAATAAAATTTTAAAAAAATCGTGAATATGACAAGACGATATATCCTTCTTCAATAATGCATATAATATAAATACAAATAATTATTGATATTATTGCATTGAATAATCAAACATCGAATAGTGCTCATTTTAAGAATATCCATAAAAATGCCATTACCATACAGTACATTTATTCACTCGACTATTTCCTTGACCTGGTTTACAATTGAATGCTCGATCAAATTCAACAAAATTTGATGTGGGACCATTGACTCTATAAAATAAATATATATATAAATTAAGATTTTTAATAATTTGAATGTTTGTACCTAAATGGTTCTAATGAATGAACACCGGATTCAACACGATCACGTGCAGATGCATCAGTGATTTTTGCACACGATATATGTGCATAATTAATGAAAAACATTTGTGTAGGTGAATACTTCGAAAGATCCTTAAGTCTTTTATCAGCATTTGGATTAGCTTGTACGAATTTTTGATACGCCTTTAGAATATAATAGAATAGAAATATATATTTTCAACTATATACAATTTAGTTAACTTACATAAAAAGCTTCGCGTAATCCACCATTATCAGCAATATCTTCACCTTGTGTTTGATCTCCATTTGCCTAAAAAAATAATATGTTGAATCAAGATTTTCAAATAAAAAAATTAGCTCCTACATGGATATTGAGATTTGGTACAGTAAAATTACTATATTGATCAACAATACATGTTTTACGTTCAATAAATGTTTCTATTGTTTCATCTGTCCACCATGGAATTTTATTTCCATCTTTATCAAACTTACGACCACGATCATCAAATCCATGTGTTATCTCATGTCCAATAACAGATCCAATACCTATAAATAATCGTCAATCTTAAAAAATGAGCAAAGAAGTAAAAACAAATTGAAAAATATTTACCACCATAATTCAAATATCTACAAGATTTAAGATTTATCAGTTATATAAATAAAAAAAGGAAAATAAATGGATTTACTTTGGGGCATCTTTATCAAAAAAAGGCTTTTGTAGGATACCAGCTGGAAAAACTAAATATAGTAAAAACGATGTAACTATGTATTCACTGAATCAATGAAACAATAAATTTACTAATTTGATTTTTGAATGGTGAATAGTAACCACCAGCAACAGTCGGTGGCCAATCCTCCCATGCTTTACGATCAACATGTTTTCGAAGAAGTTGAAATTCTTCTTTGACTTTTATTGGAAGTAATTTTAAGATATTATTGATAAAAGATAAATCGAAGACATACTAGAATATTCAATAATATAATATGAAATTATCATTTTCAAGACATAAAAATACATACATCAGCATATTGTATTTCTAACTGTGTAACATTATCACTAGCTAAGTAGTCTGGATATCCAATTTGTACATCAATAGCTAAAGCCTATTAAGTAGAAAATTTCCATTACAGATTGTTAGTAAAATAATTATTATTAATTCTACTTTTTCTATGGCTTTAGTTTTTGCCATACTATCCATCCATGTCGAATCATCAAGCATATCAATAAGTGCTTTTCGAATATTAGCAACCAGTTCATACGACTTAAAATAAATTTATTGAAAATATAATAAATATATAAATTGCGTATTACTTGATTTCGAGCATTATCATCAAAATATTTTTTTATATAAAGTTTCGATACTGCGAATCCCATAAAACTATTTACATAATTCCCACAAATAACTGTACGTGCTCGTTCAGTAGTAGTGCCACGAAATACGTGATCAAAATTGTCTTTAATGCTTCGAAATCGTTTTGGTAAAGTGTCAATTAGAGGCATCATAAAGCGCCATATAACATAATTTTGTAATATACGTGGTGACACTTTTTCAATAATTGGTGAAACACAATATAAATAATCGAGTTCTCCTACAACGACCAGATCATTATCCATGAGAGTTACATTAGCTGATGCGTAAGCTGAAGTTAAATAATTAGTGAAATCAAACTAATGAGACAAGAAGATAATAGAAAAAACTAATAGATAAATTAATTTTAAAAAAACTAACACTTGTATTCAATAGTTGTTTTAGTTTACCAACGGTTGTACGAGTTACTACATTTGATCGGCGTCGCAGTTCACCAGTTGTCCGATAACACTAATTAAAAAATAGAATTTATCTTATTAGTAAGTCTATGCAAATTCTAATGTTTATTTGCACTCAAAATGAATATCAAAATTTTAGATTCTTTTTGTACCAAATCTTTCTAAGACAAAAGCCTTTTGAGCTTGAATAATTAAAGTACTATAAAGATCGTATGGGGAAATGACTGACAATCATTTTCTTCATGTAATACAACAATATATTGAATAATCTTTAAAAGCACTCAAAACTCAAGATTTTATACATGAACAAAATATAAAATGACTTACTTTCGCAATTTTTCTTTCAAATTTATACATATCAATCACATCTTGTTCGATTGTTAATGTATCATTTGATAATAATGATGCTAAATCAAATATATATCGTTGATAAGCTACAGTAGTTTTTGATTTATGTATATAATATTCTCGTTCACCTAATCCAAGATCACCTGCACCAATCTAAAACAATTTTTATAAATGTATAATATATTTCATGGATTTTATAAATTACTCTAAGAACATATTGTGTCGAATTCTTATTATTAATTGATGTCTCAATACTAAATATAATTTTATTCCGATATTTTCGTAATTTAAGTAAAAGATTTAATATATCAAAAGTTGAATTGTCCCATGAACTTTGTATAATAGGCCAACCACCAAATTCATTATTAATCAATGACAGTATTGGATTAATACCTTCATCTTCAATATGTTGTTCATCTATACATGAATAATATAAAATACGAGCGTTGATTATTGCTTTTGGCTCGTTTGTGTCATTAGTTGATGATAGTGTTAATATATCTTAATAGAAATAATATTTAGAAGAAAAATCATAGAGAAACTAAAAAACATACCAACTACATTATAGGCTAATTTTGTTTGCAATAAATCGAGGTTAGTTGCTAGAAATAGAATTAAAAATATTTTATTGATTTATCTTATATATTTTTTCGTACTATCATGAGGTGTTCGATTATTTTTAATCCATGTTCCACAAACAAAGTGATAAAAATCTTCACATGGGTCAACTGTTTCATCAATGCTTTCAATTAAATATTTTTCTAGAAATAGATAAATTGATACCAATACAATTATATTATTTTGAAGAGAATGTACCTGCTTTAACACAATATGGAGTTACACATAACTCATTATTCACTAAATTATAAACAAAAAATGATTTTCTTAAAATATTATTTTCAAAAAAGAATAATTGTACCATTTACTTCAGGTGTTGTTTTGTTGTTCACAGGCAATATAGCAACTAAGACAAATTGTAAAAGAAAGATTCCGAGTAGAATACCTAGTAAAACAAGAAGTTTCTTTGAGCGAGTTCGAGGCATTGGAGATTTTGCGGATATGCTAATAGAAAAGATTATGGATTTAGTTTGTAAATTTATTATGAAAACGCGGAAAGAAGAAATGTCGAATGAAAAAAGATCGCCAAAGAAAAATGTGGAATCGAACGAAATTTTTAAGATATTGTTATTAATCAAAGCAGCCTTACCATCACCCTCATCCTCATTTTCATCGTCACTTTTCATCGAACATTATTATTCATTGGTTCGATAATTTTTCCAGCCGATGGTATTTTCTTAAATGTTTTTCTATCGAGATTTGTTTTTCGATCTTTTTTTCTTCGACATTTAATTTTCGGCATTTTTAATACATACCAGTTGATATATTAGATAATTTACACTTAATCCTTTTTGATGATCCATCACTGAGACGAGCAGCCATACTTAAAACTGAAAGTTGATTGAAAATAATATGACATTCTTATATTTTTCGTTGTTTTAGAAGTAACACTTGAATATTACATGGACATCAGCAAGCAAACTATTAAGTCAATCTAAAGGAAGAGAGAAACATGATTAATATTGCTTGATGTTATATTTTTGAAAGAGAAATACTCTCTTCATCTTTTGCTATTTTCCTCTTTTGTAATAAAACGAAAGATAAAATCATATAGATTTAATCATCTAGTACTACCCTCTTGTCTAACGGTTCTATTATTACAAAATAAGAAAAAAGTAAAAGATAAATATTCGTATTTGTAAATAGTAAAAAGGTGAAAATCATCTACATGCCACTCAATTACTGAATGTTTCAATTGTTCAGGTATTTCACTTTTCACGTATTTGACAAAGTATTCATCTGTTCAATCTTTCCGTTATTGTTTCACTCACCGTGAGCTTTAATCGTCGACGTATTCGATTATCTAACTTTTCGACTGATCACATTTGCAAAGTTTTAGTTGCGATTGTTTATTATGATTATGAAATTATTCCTTTCATCGTTACGCTACGAGATGTAGTCAAGAGATTATTGACTTCACACTCTTTTTCACGCTAAATCCTAAGCTCCGCAAAGTACTTAATGTGGTGAAGTAGATTATTTTCTTTTTATAGGTGCTAAAACATATGAAAATGACACGATTTGGCTCACCCTCACTATCACGACTAGTTGAAAACTATATCGAATCGATAAGTACTCGAACTCATCTTTGATCTTGACATTTACCCATCGAAAGATAAAAAATAACAGCACACTCACTACTGGCTTACGAAATAATTTTCTTCTCTTCATACAGGAGCGACAATATTTTTTTCTGAAAAAGAAAATGTAACAATGAGGGTAAAAAATATTCCTTTCGATATTGAGAATGTAAGAACGATGATAGACAAGATTTTTTGCGTAAAAGACTAAAATACAAAAGAAATAAATTTTTCTCAAAAAGAGGCGTATAGCAACGAGAGCAAGAAAAATGCGTCTGTCAATGACAATACAGAAATGATGACAGATAAGTTTTCTCGCGGAAAGAGTTTGAGGATGGGAATAAATAAATTTTTTTTCTGAAGAAGAAAATGTGACAACGAGAACAGAAAATATTCCTTTCAATAATGAGAATGTAAGAACGATGATAGACAAGTTTCTTTTCCGTGAAAGAGTTGGTGAAAGTAGAAATATACAAGTTTTTTTTTCTGATAGGAGAATGTAGAAATGAGTAAAAGAAATTCTTCCAACAAGGAGAATATAATTATCATGCTTAAGAAGTTTTTCCCGGGAAAAAAATGTAACAATAGAAATAAAAATCAATTTTTTCAGGAGGTAGAATTTAGAAATGAGAGTAAGCTGTGTTCGTAGAAAATGGATATGTTACAGATGTAATAAGAAAGATTTTTTCGTCTTGAATATCTCTTATATAATCAATACATATATCAGCATTAGTAAATACTTGAAGACTATAAACAAGACGTCGTAATTGTTCTTTTTCATTTTCAAATTTTCTTGAAGGATCATCAAATAACAATACAATTTTCAACAAATCGTGTCGGTTTTGAAGAACTAAATTTTCCTAGTACAACTGATATTTGATTGAATGAAACACTTTTAGGTATTACTACAGTTGCATAACATTCTGAACATAATCCACCCATTTGAAGATAATGTTAATATTAATCTATGTTAGAAAAAAGAAAGATAGAATCTACTCGTTAGATTTTAAAATAAAAAAGATCTTAGAAATAAAACATACTAACTACAAACATATGTTTCCATGTTGTCCATAAAAAAATGAGTACTCATTTTTTTTTCAGCGACTGGATATGAATGTATTATATTATATTATTATATAAAATATCGTCCGATAAAAAATTATAAGGTACAATGTTTTACAAATATCTAAATGCTAGGTATACTTATATTTAATTAAAATCTATAAATAAAATTATAAAGATATACATTGTTAATGTTACATAAGATATTTTAAATATTAATAAATTTTCATTAAACTTTTATAATTTAATCAAGTAAATGTATAGAAAAGAACTAACTTTTATTTTATCGATTAAAATACTAGAAAGAAAAAAATGGTCAATTAAAAATTAATTTATAATAGTAACTATATTCTTATATAAAGTTGTTATATTTGTAATTTAACTAATGTCTTTGTCAACAAAAGTATTTAAATAATATATTGGAGAAGTATATAATGATTATTCACTTAATTTACAATGAAGAAGATCAAACATATGTACTTAGACAAAGTTATGTGAGAATATAGCTTTAAAATAAAAAGAAAATTAATTTTAGCGTTTACTATATATATATATCTAAGAATTATTTTTCTTATTCTAATTAAGAAGAGTTTTAAATTGTCATATTCAGTGAACTTCTTGAGGGTGTGAGTATGAGTCTTTAATTTCTTATCTTGCGTTCACCCACACTCACACTCATACTCTAGTTATCATAGATCATAAAATATCAAATATTTAGTTGACCAAAATCGAGATTTTTATCAGTTTTATGTATATATAAAACAAGAATAATACAATATCTTTAACTGGAGATAGCATTCTTTAATACTGTGAATTTGAGAGAAAATTAAAGTTCACTTATAGAAAACGACTGATTATTCAAAAATAAATAAGTAGTACTACGTCGATGGTGATTTTTTCTGTCGATCTTTTGAATAGTCAAAAAGTATTTAATTATAAATACGACGAAGAATAATTTTTATTGACTTTTGAACTACCAATTAAGTTCAAATGACTCAGTATTCTGATTAGTTTTGTAATTTTGGCTTGTAAAGTAGTAAAAAAAGTACGAGAGACTTTATATATATATTTCAAAAGAGATTATTTATAGTTTAATTACTCTTTGAAAATAAGACGCGTAATATTTTTATTACTATATTCTTATTCTTTTCATTCTATCAAATATTTAATGTAACGAAACATTAATACTTTCAAAAATATATAATAATGAGACATCTTTTAATAAATCTGTTCGAACTATCGAATCAAAGAAAAAAAATGCTCACTAAAGTCATTTCAGTAGATAATGATCTCTGTAAATTACCAAGTGTTTATTTTTTAACAGTTCGTAAAAGAAAAACACAGAAAGTTATTTAGTTAGATATTACAAACAGATATGAGTATGACTGTTTAAATGATTATAATATTTTCATATTCAAATCATCAAATTGTTGCACTACTTTTATTTAATGTAAAATACACTTAAATTATTTTCAGTTTGATACAACAATCAAAAAAATCGATACTGTAGGATAAATAAAACAGATTTGTTCTTTTATTAGAAAATAAATAAATTACATATAGACTTTATTCGTTTAAATACTAAATACTTTATTTCTATTATGAAATATCGTCATATTCTTATTTTATCAAAATAACGTCTTTACATATTCAATTCTGTTACATATAGCAACGTTTTAACTTTCTTTTTTTCGTTCCATTATTTAATTAAAGTCAAGTTGTCTGTATACATAAACATGAATGTTGCTGTAGTTTTTTTCTTGTTGAATTCGATGATATGAGAAAAAAATATCTAGATATCAAACTCGATCCATATTCAAAAAGTAATAGACATGCGTAAGATCAGTCAATATTAAGTTTTACTACATTGTACCATCTTCTTTGTAGAAATACTTCTATTTTATAATATTCTTTCAATATCTTCTTAGTTAAATTCTCAAAACAATCAACAGTTCATTATTAAATTAATTTATACAAAATAGATCTTGTTGTTTACCCTTGATTTTTCAAAAGTAGTTTTCAACAAGAAACATTATGAGAATAAGTAGATTTCATGATTTTCTTAACTACATATAGAAATTTGTTTGTAGTTTGTCTTCATGTAATTAGTCTGATTAAAATTATATTCTTATTCTCATATTGCTTAGAAATGAGAATACCTTCATCTTAATAGGAAACACTATAGAGTGTTAAACACGTGTTTACTATGTTACCAAATATCCCTAAAATCTTTTATATAAGAAAAAAAATATGATGAGAGATGTATATGTGAATAAATTAAAAGACAAAATATAATATCAATGCTTATATGTTTCGAATTAATTCGATTATCTTTACACTATTATGAATATCGTAACTATTAGTTCTAAAGTTAAATTGATATTGGCATAACACAGATAGTACATTTTCTAGTTATATTTTGATATGTAGTTTGAATGACTTTTCTTTTATTTTCTATTCAACAACTACTACCTTAATATTACATTCAGCCAATTTACTAACATACTTTTAGCATAAGTTAATAAGAAAATACTAAGTAAATTTGTTTTTTTCATAGTTAATCAGAAAAACCTTTGTATAATGCTTGGAAAAATCTTTAAAAAATATCGATCTAGTTCTTATGATCATGGATAGCATAGGATTATTTTATAGAATTTAAGCATAAAATATTTCTTTTTATATTTCATTTAATTTCAGTTTCATATAGTGGCGTAACCAGAAATTTAAGGATGATGGGGCTCAGCCCCAAAACTGTCTATACCATGTAAAAGAAAACGTAAAAAATCAGATTTTCATTGATTTTTCGATGATGAAAAATCGATTTAAATCTGTTTTTTTTTGAAAAATCAATAGAAATCGATTTTAATCAGGGATTATCAATATTCTTGCATAAGTGAGTCGATATCGAGCTATATCGTACCTGGAAATATGATAAGAGTATCACAGATTGCTCTACCATTGTACTTACTGTTTGTCGATGCAAGGATTCTGAAAACAAGGTCGAGAAGTCTGACCGATAGTCGGAAACTAGAGAAAAACACGTTTTTTCTTCATTATGATTAAAATCGATTTCTTTTGTTAGGAAAAACTGTCAAAATATATTATCTGATGAGAATTCATCGATTAAAAGATATTAATTTCAATGGTTTAATCAATGAAAATCACTCTTCATTGTAAAACCTATTTAAATCGGTTTTATAACAGTAATCTATTAAAATCTATTTTTGTGAGAATTTAATCGATAATAATTGATTTTCATGGGAGGAATCTGTTACAATCTATTATGTGTCACGGTTTAATCAGAAAATGTGGTATTTAATCAGATTTTCTTGATTTTTCTCAAAAAATCGATTTTAATCAGATTTTTTGTAGTTCTTTTACATGGGTAGTCTTTTGGATTTTTTGATTGACAAGTTCAGTAACCAAAAAATCCGGGTGATGGGGCTAAGCCCCATCTGGCCCAGTGTGGTTACGCCACTACTACTTATGAGCAAAATATAAGCTCAAACAGAGGGTATCACTTGATGAGGTTCTCTCGTGCGCAAAATATACTGAACACGAGATAGAAAAAAGTATTGGGCATTCTCAATAAAATACTGTGCAAAAATATATGCCCTTTTTAAATTAAAATTTAATAGTAATAAGAAAGAAAGCGATACTATGAATACGTTAAAATCAGAATGAACAGTAGTTCTTTAATATTAAGTGATACAGTGCACATATTTCATTTATTTCTATTTAATCTTGTTTATGACGTTTCACAAGTGATAATACCGATATTTATTAGATTTTTAATAAGAATTAAAAGTAACTAAAAAAAGAAAAGGTAAATTAGAAGAACTACACGAAAATGTTTATTATCTGTTCAAGAATCGTACATATTTGATGATTTCAAAATAATACATTTAATAGCAAGCAAATCTAAAATAAACTGAAATATTTCTTTCTTTTTGCGTAAGTTAGTTGATTACTAAATTACCGTATTTATTATCTTTGGTATTTATTTTAATAGACTCGCTAAGTAGTTGCACATGTTAAGAATTTGCTTTTCATTAAATATCCAAGAAGAATGGCTATCACCATACATTTGAAATAACTGGATATATTCATCATTCACTAGTGTGTCAAGATTATTAAATGATGTATTGGTGTAGTATGAAGTTAATTCTAACTGATCGTTCAATGTAACGTTTTCATTCATCTTATTAGCTTTAAATAATACAATATTTATATTTCTGTTGGTTATATTTAATCCAAATGGTTCGTTGTCTATCATCGGTAAATAATAGGTCATGGAATCATTAACATATATTTTATGTATTTTGCCAATTTCAAAAGAAGCCTTGCTTACATTAAAGTATGAGTCGATCATAAAAATGTTACCAACTTTCTCGCCAGCATTAATCAATTGGCGAGAAAGTTCAAACGATAAAATGCCGCCAAAACTCCAGCCTAGAAAGTTATATGGACCATCATGTTGGATTTCTTTTATATACTTTATGTATACAGGAGCTAATGTCTCGAATGAAAAGCCTTCTTCAATAATTTTTGCTTGAAGATCAAGATAGTAGTTGTTGAATATTACCAGTTTAAATTGGGATAAATGAGGCACAATATTGTCGAAGTAGCTTTCGGCACCACCGTCACCAGGCGGCAAAATAAACAAAATATTATCGCAACTTTCATTGATCACAACAAACGGATGCTCGAAAAAATTCGAAGTAATGTCTACAAGAGAAATCAGTGGGTTTATATATTTGATGGATGTTTTTTAATTTAAAGATGTTTTACCCTGATCGATATGTACTGATTGCCATCGTGTTGTCTGCGTATCATTGGAGGGAAGTGTTTGAAGTAGTTGTGCATGTTGTCGAATAGTTGGCTGCTGCAGAAAAAGACCAATCGAGAGTAAATGAGCATCGAAATTGAATAATGACTGGTAACGATAATAAAGTTTGATGAAGCGAAGTGAATGGCCACCAATAGTAAAAAAGCTAGTAGTTCCGGAAATGTGATTTTGATTAGAATGAAGAACCTGACACCAAATTGTATGTATACGTTCTTCGAACTGATTAAGAGGAGCATCAGATTTATCGGATAATAACGAAGTTGATAAAGAAAAGTCAGGTGAAGGAAGTTGTTTTCGGTCTACTTTTCCATTTTGATTCAAAGGTAGTTTATCAAGTATAACAAATATTGATGGTATCATATGTGGTGGAAGATGAGATTGACAATGTTCACGCAATTCTTGTTCTATAATATCAGAACTTTGAACATATGCAACTAAATAATCATCATTCCATTTCATGACAACACATGTAGAGATGGATGTGATGTTAAGTAAACATCGTTCGATTTCACCAAGTTCAATTCTTTGTCCATGTAGTTTGATTTGATGATCTTTTCTTCCTTGATAATGAAGAAGACCATTGCTATCCATTGTAACAAGATCACCTGTTCGATAAAATAGTTCACCATCTATTTCAACAAGAGCTTTTGCAGATAAATCATCACGTCCAAGATAACCAGCAAAGACACCAACACCTCCTATAAACAATTCGCCATCTTGATTAGTGATTGGTCGTTGTGAATATTCATTTATAACCATACATCGGTAATTAGAAAGTGGTGTACCAATTGGAATACTTTGTGTATTGGGCATAGGATGTACTCTATAGAAGGTGGAAACTATAGTAGCTTCAGCTGGACCATATAAATTCCATAAAGTACAATTGAGAATATTGCTTTCTTGGATCAGATCGATCAGCTTAGAAGGAAATACTTCTCCTATCGAAACAAAAGTGTAGTGCAAAGGAAATCATGAAAAGTGTCTGTTTTCACTTACCTGCACTACAAAGCAATCGGAGATACTTTACAACATATATTTTCTTATACTGCATGAGGAAACTGAAAAAACTTTGAATTAAAGTTGGTACAGTACTGAAATGTGTAATCTGTTTATTATAAAACACATCAGCTAGATACTCAAAATCAGTCATTCCTCTTGGATGTAGCATGACACATGTAGCGCCAATTAATAAAATACCTACTATTTGTCGAAGATGACCGTCATAAGTACATCGAACGATCTGGACAACCACATCATTGTTCTTCAATGTGGTAACATTCCCAAATGAATATATAAAACGAATGAAATTTTCATGGCGATATTGGATCTGTTAGAATGGACAGCAACAGAAATGTGAAGCAAAAATTTTAGTATTCACTTACCGCTTTCGGTATTCCTGTTGAACCACTTGTGAAAATGATAAAAGCAATATTATTAGGTGTGACAGTAATACTTGATAGTCGAGCAAAATCAGCATCGCTCATTACATCATTATTAGCGAGTATCGAATGAATATCAGCTGAAAGAATATCATTATTAAACTTCATTTTTGTCAGCCAATGAACAAGAACAAGGCGACTTTGTGTTTGTTGTATGAATTCATGCAAACGATGTTCTGGATCTCGAGGCGACAATGAACAATAAACACCACCAGCCATTAAGATTGACATAATACCAATCACCTAGTCAAAATTAATTTTATACTTACATCAGTATTTATTTCTTCTAATTAACTTACCATTGACAAACTTCGCTCAGCACATTGACAAACAATCTCACCTGGAGTGACATAATATTCATTAAGAAGAGTTAAAGATAGGACCTGAACATAATATAGAAGTTCACAATATGTCAAAGATTGTTCATCTAGTTCAACTGCTAGTTTTTGTGGATGTTTCTTTACTTGTTTCACAAATTCATGATGGATACAAGTGAGAGCAGATGAATATGATATTTGTGTATTATTCAGTGATTGTATCATATATTGTTCTTTTGATAATGTTAATGATAATTCATAGATAGGTTTGTTCATTTGATTATCAATCATAGATGCCAATAGTTGGTGTAAAATGGAATGAAATCGTTGTGAAATCTTCTCCACTGTCTCTCTATTGAACAAATCAAGTGATGCATTGATTGTGCATGATAGTTTATTCATGTTCATATCATGATGAATTAAAAGAGAGAGGTCGTGTATATCTAATATCTCATCTTCATTATCATTGAATGAGAAAGATGCTGGAAGAAGTTGAGAATCACCAATCATGGTTACATTGTTGCTGTTGTTTGATGTAAACTCCAAAAATGTATCCAAAAATGCATATTTTGAAATATCTGGATGTTGGTTGAGAATACGTTGAAGTGGAAAATATGAATATTTCATACTATTTGTTGTTATCTCTCGAATATGTTCGAACAGTTGATGTAAATACGAATGAGGATTTAATTGACATCGCAATGGAATGATATTCTCAAACAATCCAATGATTGATTTGAGTTCATCTCTATATCGATTATTATTGATGTTCATAGCCAGACAGAGATCTGTTTGTCCTTTAGTTAATTTAAATAGAAAGATGAAATAAATGGCAAATGTGAGGTGTTCGAGTGATATGTTATTTGATGATGCCTGTGTAAGAAATTCATGTGAGAGATCTTGACCAAAATCAAAAGAAATAGATGTTCTGCGACTAGTTCGATGTTCATTTGAGAGACGATATCGATCAAATGGTAACGACAAAGACTGATCGAGTTTACAATCATGAAGAGTATCAAACCAAAACATACTTGCACCTGTCATTGACATTTGTTGTTCAATTACCGCATCTATATAATTAAAGAAAAGAATGCATTATAAAAGTAGAAATAGTAGTCATATTTACAATCGAGGTAGCGTAGATTGGTGTTGTCATCATATAATAATTGACCTGTTGTATATGCTTGATTGAGATCATGAAGAAATATATTCATTGATGGATAGTCAAATAAAGCATGATGAAAGTTGAAGATGAGTAGATCTTTGTCAGAAAGTAGATCATTTGAAGAGATTTGTTTGTGATAAACAAGATGACAGCGAAAGACAAGACCTTCAGCAAGATCAAAAAGATGAGGATTACGTTTTTCATCATGTAAAATATCGTTGAGTTGTTCATGTGTAGTATAAATGCTTTCACTAAATGAAAATAATGTATTATCATTCTGGCTCAAGTCGATGATTTGTTGCATGAGTCGATTGTTGTGTTTATGAAGTACGAGTGATGTTCGAAGGGATTCATGTTTTTTGACGATTAGTTGAAGAGCATGACGGAGATGTTGTACTGATAAAGTACGATGTAAAAGGAGATGATAAATAAAGGGTATGTTGTAAATTGGCACTTGCGATATGTGAGGAGTGAAGTGAATAGATTCATTATGGCATAGTAGAGCTTGTGCAAATGACGCTGGTGCTGGAATAATGAGGGATTGTTAGGTTATAATTTAGAAGAATAATGATCAAATCATATCTGATATCAGTGCTGTAGACACTTTTCGTGTGATCGGTTATTTAATTAACAACACAATTGGATAAGGATGCTAGGTTAGTATTGAGATTAACTTTATTGAAATTCATTTTAATATTTTTTCGTTAATATTAGACAATACGTCAAGGTTTCAATAATAGTGTGGAATTTATTTCAATATAACGCGAATGTTGATAGTTATGAGAAGAGTGCAGAACTGATGAATATTTACAGGGCTAATGAGCAAACCAAATGGAGATATATATGCTTTGAGATTTAGTGGGATTTGTATTATGTTAATACAAATTCGATAGTAATGCTAAAATATGAACTTATTTTTCTAACAGAAAGACAAACGTTTTTTGGATGATACATTTGTGGAAGGTGTTGTTAGTGGTATGAAGTATTGATGTACTATTTCCGAAAATTCTGTGTTAATCCTTTTGTTAGTGATACTGTAAAGGTATCACAGCACAGACCTTAATTTCTTTCTTCTCTTTTCTTCTCTACTATCTTTGTTTGTATTCATATGAAATAAATATGTACCGTGATACACAGTATGCCTCTTTCTAGTGTATCTATCTCTATGTGTATGCATGTAGTTTTTTGCATTTCTACTTTTAAATAAAGAAATACTTAAAACGAGCAAACACTATTCCAGTTATATGTTTTCATTTAACAACATATTATTTGTAAGACACACTGGTTGAAAAATCCGATCTATAAGAATCAACTGAAAACAAAGGTGCAAACTTCAACGAAAATGTGTATACTGTTTCAAAATTAGGATACGGCTACTATTCTATTTTACCATTCATTTGAGATTCCCATTTTACGGAAAGATTCTAAGTCGATATTATACGATATTCCTTATTATTATTACTATTAGTATGACATAAATAATCGCCCACGTAATGGATTCGATATGCATCGACTTGTCAATTCACACAATGATCTTTTTAGATAGGAGAACTGTTCTACGCAAATTTGTCTGTGTATGATTGAATGCATGCTATAGTTAGTTTATCTGGTAATGCCAAAAAAGCAGATAGATGTCTTCATTTTTTCCTTCTAGAAGAAAAGAAAAAATAAATAATCATACCTTCACTAAGAATACCCTTCAATCGATCAAACACGATCAATTCGATTTCTTCAGCTTCTTCAGAAAGAATTAGAGAAACTTTGTCAATCGATGAACACCCGTTGATCAAAGGAATGTTGCTCGATTGTGTTTGAAACAGTTGCTGAAACATGTATTGAAATCTTCGACCTATTATGGTGAGTATTCTTTCATCAAATAAATCACTTGAACAAGCAAAAGAACATGACAATTGATTATCATCTGATGACGAATTGTATGTAAAGTTCACTGAGAAGTCAAATTTAGCCATTTCATATAATTCACTTAATGACACTTGTTGTAGATTGACACCATTCAGACATAAATAACTATCTTCATCTGATATAGTGATAAAATCAAACATTGTTTCAAGAAATGATACATTCGATTGAGTGAGATGTAAATCAGCAAGAATATGTTGAAGTGGATAATGAGAATGCTCAAGAATTGATAAACATTTTTCTTGTACATATCTAACTACTTCATCAAATGACCATTGAGAATCAAGTTCAACACGATATGGTAATGTTGATACAAACATTCCAATCATATTCACTAATTCACTTCGATATCGATTTGCATTGATAGAAGAAATACATAGATCAGTCTCACCATGAGTTAATTTGAATAGGAAGACATAAAATATGGATAATCCAAGTTGAAAAAGTGTGAGATGATGTGATGATGCATAGGTGAGAAATGATATACATATTTCATCATCGAAAGTGATTTGAGCTATGGATGCTAAACTTGATCGTTGTTGATTAATTGACGAACGTTGCCGGTCAACAGGTAATGATATCTGGCGTGTGAGATTATATCCCTTGAGTTTTAATAGCCAAAACTCTTGAGATAATGTCATATCCATGATGTGTTCGTGAATAGAATAGTCAATATATTGGAATGAATTATCATCTATAGGAAGCAAATTATTAGATTGATAAGCAAGCGAAAGATCACGAATGAAGATTGATGTTGATGCTCCATCAAAACAAGCATGATGAAAGGTAAATAAGATCAGATCATCTTTAGTCAATACATCATTATTATTGTGAGTGAATGAACGATTTGATTGATTTTGACAAAGAATATGACAATTAATAACATATCCTTTTGATAAATCAAACAAATCTGATTGACTTAAAATCTTCTTCACAATTTCGTTGTGCTCATGTTCATCGTTAGGAAGATTAGTCATCGAAAATCTAGATGATTTCTTATCATTGATAATAGCGTTTGTATCTAAACAATGTTGAATAATAGTACCATTTGTATCAAGATATAGTGCTGTTCGAAGAGTTTGATGTTTTGTTATGATAGATTGAAATGCATGTTGTAATCGTGAAATAGATATGTGATCATTCATAGTTGAAATTCGATAGATTAATGGAATAACATACATGTTAGTATTATTATTTGCTGATGAAAATCGAATTTGTTCATCTAAGAAAATACGTTCTTGTGCAAATGATGCTTTAGCTACAAGAGACAATTTGAATGTAGTCAAAGAAATATGCTTAAAACGTATGAGTTACCTTTCATGATATGTAATGGAGACCAATGATAGTCATTGATATTCTCTTTCACATTCATAGTTTGATAAATGAGTTGAGCATGACCAATAATAGTGGGATGTTGAAATAGATCAGATATTGAGAGAGTATTTTGATTTTGTCCTAAATGAAATTCGATCTTGTATTGATGAAATAGTTGCATCATAAGTAGTGAATGACCCCCAATAGTAAAGATATTTGTATTAGTTGAGATTTGATTTTGTTTGAATATCTCACACCAAATATGGTGAATGCTAACTTCAATATCATTTGTTGGGAGTAATAATTTATCATGACTAGTGAGATGCATTGGTGAAAAACTAGGTGGAGGAAGAAGTTTTCGATCTATTTTTCCATTTGCATTTAATGGTAATCTGTCAAGTATAACAAAGACTGATGGTGTCATATGTGATGGTAGATGAGATTGGCAATGCTCACGTAATTGTTTTTCATTAATATGAGAGCTTTGAATATAAGCAACTAAATGATCATCATTCCATTTAATAACAACGCAAGCCGATATGGTTGTTTCAAGCAAAGATCGTTCGATTTCACCAAGTTCAATTCGTTGTCCATGTAATTTGATCTGGAAGTCTTTTCGACCAACATAATGTATCAATCCATTATTATCTACATGAACAAGATCGCCTGTTCGATAAAATGGTACACCATCTATTTCAAGAAGATCTTTTGCAGTTAAGTCTTGACGTCCGAGATAACTAGCAAACACACCTGCCCCTCCCACAAACAGTTCACCTTGTTGATCGGTGGCAGATGTTTGTAAATATTGATTAATAATCATACCTCGATAATTATAAAATGGTCTACCAATTGGGATACTTTGTGTATCACTGGTGACGTCTACACTGTGAATTGTAGAACCTATAGTTGCTTCTGCTGGACCATACAAATTCCATACGATACAGTTTGTTATACCGATCTTCACAGTCAAACCAATTAAAGCAACAGAAAAAGGTTCACCTGTAATAATAAGCATATACTCGATCAAAGAATAAAATCTATTTGAAAGTCACTCACCACTGCTGCAAAGTGATCGAAGATGTTTCAAAACATTCGGATTGTTATTTTGCTCGATAAAAGTAAAAAAACTATGCAATAAACTTGGAACGGTATGCAGATATGTGATCTGTTTGTTCTGTAACACTTTGGTTAAATAATCAAAATCGATGGTTCCACCTGGATGAAGCATAATCAATGTGCCTCCAACCAACAATGTACCAAGTATTTCTTGAACATGAATATCAAATGAACATCGTGTCATTTGTACAACTGTATCATCTTTATTAAATGAGTTAATATAAGCTAAAGAATTTATACAATCAATGAAGTTCTTATGTCGGACTTGAACCTATGAAAAGAAGCATGCAGATCAATGTGGACTTGCAAAATTAAGTTAAAACAAACCGCTTTAGGTGTTCCAGTCGAACCACTTGTAAAAATAATATATGCTATCTCTTCACCTTCCACTAGTACACTTGAAAAACAGTTATTATCCATGTCACTATTCACATCATTAATAACTAATATTGAATCAATATCAAGCACAACAATATCGTCATTGAATTTGGCCTTAGTTAAATAATGAGCAAAAATCAGACGGCTCTGAGTTTGTTGAGTAAGTGCGTGTAAACGATGTTGCGGATCTCGAGGTGACAATGGACAGTAAACACCACCAGCCATTTCAATTCCCATTATTCCAATCACCTAATTAAAATCAATCTCATATTCACAACAATAGCTATTTCTTCTAATTAACTTACCATCGAAAGACTTCGTTCAACACATTGGCACACGATCTCGCCTGGAATGACATGATATTCATTAAGAAGAGTGAAAGATAATACTTGAACATAATACAGAAGTTCACAATATGTCAATGATTGTTCATCTAGTTCAACAGCTACTTTTTGTGGATGTTTCATTACTTGATATACAAATTCATGGTGAATACAAGTGAGAGTAGATGAAAATGGTATCTGTGTATTATTCAATGATTGCATTAGATATTGTTCATTTGATAATATTAATGACAGTTCATAGATAGGTTTGTTTGTTGTACAGTCGAAAGACGTCAATTGTTGATGTAACATTGTCTGAAATCTTTGTGCAATTATACAAACGGTTTCAACATTAAATAGATCAAGTGATGCATTAATGGTGCATGAGAATTCATTTACATTGAGATCATGATGAAAACTAATGTTTAAATCACATTTACTCATTATTTCATTTTCACTAATCTTAATGGAATCAAGTAATAAAGAGAATCGACTATCACCGATCATTATTTCATTCTCCTCATCTCTTCTCATAGATGATACAAAGTCAAATGATGTATCAAGAAATACAGGATTTGATATATTTGGATGTTGATTGAGAATATGTTGAAGTGGAAAATATGAATATTTAATACTATTTATCATATTATTTTGAACGTGCTTAGTGACTTTATGAAATGATAGATGAGGATCGAGTTGACATCGCAAAGGGATAGCATTCACAAACATTCCAATAATAGAGTTAAGCTCATCTCTGTATCTACCAAGTGTATTTATTCCGATGCATAAATCTTTTTCTCCATTTGTTAATTTGAATAAAAACACATAATAAGTAGCAAGTGCGAGATGTTCCAGTGATATGCTATTTGCTGATGTATGAGTAAGAAAGTCATGTGAGAGATCTTGACCAAAATCAAACGAAATAGATGTTCCACGACCAGTTCTATATTCATTAGAAAGACGATATCGATCAAATGGTAATGACAAAGGTTGATCAAGTTTACAGTCATGCAGAACATCAAGCCAGAACATGCTTGCACCAGTCATTGACATTTGTTGTTCAATAACAGCATCTATTATGTAATTAAAGAAAAGAATGTATTAGGAAAAAGGAAAAAATATAAGAGCTAATTATGTTTACAATCAAGATAACGAAGATTAGTGTTCTCATCATATAATAGTTGATTTGTTGTATATGCTTGATTGAGATCATGAAGAAATATATTCATTGATGAAAAATCAAATAAAGCATGATGAAAATTAAAAATAAGCAGATCTTTGTGAGAAAGAAGATGATTTGAAGATATTTGTTTGTAATAAACAAGACGACATCGAAAGACAAGACCATGAGCAAGATTAAAAAGATGAGAATTACGTTTCTCATCATGTAAAATATCGTTGATTTGTTCATCTGTTTCATAAGTAGTTTCGATTATTGAAAATATATTATTATTTTCATTCTTATCTTCATGAGTAATAACTTGTTGCATCAGTAGATTCTTTTGGATATCAAAATGAAGTGATGTGTGAAGTGAAGGATGTTTGTTGACAGTGAGATGAAGAGCATGACGGAGTTGTTTAACTGATAAAGTATGAACTGGTTGCAGACGATAAACGAAAGGCATATTATAGATTGCTATTTGTGGTTTCTCTGGATCGAATTGAATTTTTTCATCAAGCCATATACGAGCTTGTGCAAATGATGCTGGTGCTAGAAAAATGAGAGCTTAGTGAATTATATTGTAAAAACTGAATGGCCAAATGATGTTTGGTAACAATATTCTAGTCACTTTTCATGTGATCCCCGCTTTAACAGAACAACATCCGTATCAAGAGTGTTGACTCACTATTTTAATACGACAGAATGAAATGCCTAACATCGTATGATATCGGAACCTACTTTAAAAATCGGGGAATATTATTAGTAGTCATAGAATCCGATTTAACGGTTTTGATCTGGGACTTTTTACGCGCATTAACAGTACTATGTAATAGTTTTATGTTAATGTTTATATATAAAACACGATAGTTTGGCATCCTTATTACACTGGAATTTATATAATGTATGTACTGATGGCTTTCTCAAAAAAAAGTAAAATTATTCGCCGTTAGGAATTCATCTTTTGAAATTAAAACGGTGTTGTTTTTTTATAAAAGTCGTCAGCATTTGCATTATGCTAATACAAATTCAATGTGAATGTCGAACTATTGTTCTTCTTCTACTATTAACATAAAAGAATCATAGAATTTTGTAGAATTTTAACAAGTAATATTAGTATTTTCGCAGTACGAATACTTAGCTGACAGTCTCAGTTAATACTATTGTTAGTTCTTTATAAATCTTTCTTATTCACTGAGTATATCAAAGTTATTTCTCTAATTCATTCAAATGCACTCAAATATTTGATAAATTTGTCTCTTGATTTTGTTTTCTCTCTTTCTTCCTTGTATACTTCTTTTCATTATATATATTCTCCAAATCATCAGACAGTATTACAATACATTTGAAATAAAAACATAAGGTTACGTGACGAAATCGCTGTAGTTCCTATATAAAATTTTATTTCACAATAAGCTTATGTGATTTTATTCGTTTGACATATATTACTAGATCACGAACAGCTTTAGCTACTAATCTGAAACTAAAATCTCTGCAGCTGTATAAGAGAATAATCTGAACAAAATATTCGTATGAAATAAGGTGTATAATCAATAGGAATATGCATAATAAAAGCGCCAACTATAATATATAAATGTGGTATCTTTTATAATATCTTACAATGATTTAATAGATATCTAATTAATTTCTAAGAGTTATATACTGCCAATGTTCGACAATTTCTATAATCAATACACGTATATCTAATCAGTGAAATCAACAAAAATATCTTTGTGCTAGCTTTATATATCACATCCGAAGAAACCAAAAGCAAATAGAAATGTTTTATGGCTATACAACCCGACTATGATTTCGAAAAGCTTCTTCTCTGTGATTCAAATTCGACTGCATGAATCTTTAGTTTTTCACTTCGATCTCAATTTTGATACCCAAAAACTACGGCAATTTATTGCTGATAACTAGTGCCCTATCATATACTTAGTACTTAGTCTACTTAGAACTCAAATATAGATAGTCTCGCCAATGACAAACTCTGGATTTTGCTGACTCCATTCAACAGTCTGAGCAAATTAAATGTGATTTGTTTTTCGACATGACATACACGAGCGTATCATAGTTGTTCTATTTCTTCCAAAGAAATGTACAACTCTCGAGCAACGGTAAGTGTTACTTTTTGATAATTTATACAAAGGTACAAGATTATTCACACATTAAAAGCAAATATTCATCAGAGATTTTTTTAATTTAATCTTGATTTCTCTCGTGAAAAATTTCGCGATAAGTCCGATTTCAACTCACTTTCAGTGTCTTCAGCAATCTCTCCTTAAACGTTTCAAACACTAGAGCACCTGAAAAAGACAACCTGAGTTACTGACGATTACAACTCATTTGAATCTCTATTTTCTCATTATTTATTCTGTCAGGATTCATTTAAAATTGAATATACAATGTTTGTACATTGCAATGCAATTTAAATGCATATTTCTCATTACTGCTTTAACTGACTACTGCTTTTATAAAACAATAGATGAAGCTGCATACAATCATACCTTCATTCACAATATTCTCCAATCGATGAAATAACATTACTTTCATTTCTTCAGCTTCTTCAGGGAGAATAAGAGATAGCTCGCTAATCGACGAATTCGCATTCATCATAGGGATGTTGCTTGATTGTGTTTGAAATAGTTGCTGTAACATATGTTGAAATCTTTGAGCTATTATTGAAATAGTTAATTTTTCAAACAGATCACATGAACAAATAAAACCACATGATAATCTCTTGTTATCTAATAATACATTGTATTCAAATGTTAATGAGAAGTCAAATTTAGACACTTCAGTTGATTGTTCTAACAATACTTGTTCTAAATCTGTATCATTTAAACATAAATGTTCGACATATTTTGACACAGTAATAAAATCAAACATTATTTCAAGAAATGATGTATTTGATTGAGTGAGATGTAAATCACTAAGAATATGTTGAAGTGGATAATGAGAATGCTCAAGAATTGATAAACATTTCTCTCGTACATATTTAACTACTTCGTCAAATGACCATTGAGAATCAATTTCAACACGAAATGGTAATGTTGATACAAACATTCCTATCATATTCACTAATTCACTTCGGTATCGATTAGCATTAATAGAAGAAATACATAGATCAGTCTCACCATGAGTTAATTTGAATAGGAAGACATAAAATATAGATAATCCAAGTTGAAAAAGTGTGAGATGATGTGATGATGCATAGTTGAGAAATGATGTACATATTTCATCATCAAAAGTGATTTGAGCTGAAGAAGCTAAACCTGATCGTAGTTGATTCGTTGATGAACGTTGTCGATCAACAGGTAATAATAATTGGCGTGTGAGATTATATCCTTTGAGCTCTAATTGCCAAAACTCTTGAGATACTGTCATATCCATTATGTGTTCATAAATCGAATAGTCAACGTACTGTAATGAATTGTCATCTACAGGAAGCAGCTCATTAGATTGATAAGCAAGAGAAAAATCACGAATGAAGATTGGTACTGATGCTCCATCAAAGCAAGTATGATGAATAGTAAATAATATCAGATCATCTTTGGTCAACAGATCAACATTATTGTGAGTGAATGAATGATGTGATTGATGATGACGAAGAATATGACAATTAATGACATGTCCTCTTGATAAATCAAACAAATCTGATAGATTCAAAATCTTCTTTACAATTTCATTTTGTTTATGTTCTTCATCAGAAAGATTAATTATCAAAAATCTAGATGATTTTTTATCATTAATAGTAGTATCTGTATCTAAACAATGTTGAATAATAGTACCATTTGCATCAAGATATAGTGCTGTTCGAAGAATTTGATGTTTTCTTATGATAGATTGAAATGCATGTTGTAATCGTGAAATAGATATATGATCATTCATAGATGAAACACGATAAATTAATGGAATAACATACACGTTGGTATTATTATTTGTTGATGAGAAACGAATTTGTTCATCTAAGAATATACGTTCTTGCGCAAATGATGCTTTAGCTACAATCGGAGAAATAGAATATAGTTAATAGAATATTCTTAAACATTATATGCTACCTTTCATAATATGTAATGAAGACCAATGATAGTCATTGATATTCTCTTTCACATTCATAGTTTGATAAATGAGTTGAGCATGACCAATAATAGTGGGATGTTGAAATAGATTAGAAATAGAAAGAGAGTCTGTTTCAAGATGAAATTGTATTTTATATCGATGAAATAGTTGCATCATGATTAATGAATGACCACCGATAGTAAACATATTTGTATCAACTGAGATTTGATTTTGTTTGAATACGTCACACCAAATATGATGAATGCTAACTTTAATATCATTTGTTGGTAGTAGTAGTTCTAAACTGTTTGTGAGATGTGCGGATGAGAAGTGAGGTGGTGGAAGAAGTTTTCGATCTATTTTTCCATTTGCATTCAAAGGTAATTTATCAAGTACAATGAATATGGATGGATTCATATGAAGCGGTAAATGTGATTGACAATGTTCGCGTAACTGTTTTTCATCAATATGAGGACTTTGAACATAAGCAATCAGATGATCATCACTCCATTTAATAACAACACAAGCTGAAATTGATGTTCGAAGTAAAGATTGTTCGATTTCACCAAGTTCAATTCGTTGTCCATGTAGTTTCACCTGATAATCTTTTCTTCCTTGATAATGAATAAGACCATAGTTATCCATTGTAACAATATCACCTGTTCGATAAAATAGTTGACCATCTATTTCAACAAGAGCTTTTGCAGTTAAATCATGACGCCCAAGATAACTAGCAAACACACCTACTCCTCCTACAAACAGTTCACCTTCTTGATCAGTGACAGATGATTGCAAATATTGATTAATAATCATACATCGGTAATTTGAAAGTGGTATACCAATTGGAATGCTTTCTTTATTATTTGCGACATTTATACGATGAAATGTACAATCTATGGTTGTTTCAGCTGGACCATACAAATTCCATACAATACAGTTCGTTATACCGACTTTTACGATAAAACTAATTAAGGGAACAGAAAAAGGTTCACCTACAACAATAAACACACCCTAGATAAGTAAACGAAATTAGTTCGAAAGTCACTCACCACTACTGCAAAGTGATCGAAGATGTTTCAGGGCATTCTGATTGTTATTTTGCTCGATAAAAGTAAAAAAACTATGCAATAAACTTGGAACAGTATGCAGATATGTGATCTGTTTGTTCTGTAACACTTTGGTTAAATAATCGAAATCGATGATTCCACCTGGATGGAGCATAATCAATGTGCCTCCAACCAACAATGTACCAAGTATTTCTTGAACATGAATATCAAATGAACATCGTGTCATTTGTACAACTGTATCATCTTTATTAAATGAGTTAATATAAACCAAAGAATTAATACAATCAATGAAGTTCTTATGTCGAACTTGAACCTATGGAAGAGCATGGAAATCAATCAGAAATTAGAAAACTCAGTGTCAACGAACCGCTTTAGGTGTTCCAGTTGAACCACTTGTGAAAATGATATAAGCAATATCATTAGGCATGACTGTAATACTTGATAGTCGATCAACATCAACATCATTCTTTACATCATTATTAAACAATATTGATTGAATATCAATCCAAAGATTATCATTATTGAATTTCGTTTTCGTCAACCAATGAACAATAACAAGACGACTTTGACTTTGTTCTGTAAGTGCACGTAAACGATGCTGTGGATCTCGAGGTGATAATGGACAATATACACCACCAGCCATTTCAATCGCCATTATACCAATAACCTACAAAATATGAAAACTTCAATTAAAATAAACATCAATCTCAGACAATAACTCACCATTGACAAACTTCTGTCAACACATTCACAAATGATTTCACCTGGAACTACAACATGTTTATTTATAAGATGCAAGGATGATACTTGAACATAATATAGAAGTTCACAATATGTCAATGATTGTTCATCTAGTTCAACAGCTAGTTTTTGTGGATGTTTCATTACTTGACAAACAAATTCATGATGAATACAAGTGACAGGAGATGAAAATGATACTTGTGTATTATTTATTGATTGCATGTGTAATCTTTCATTCGGTAATGTTAATGATATTTCATAGATTGACTTATTCATTTGATCATCAACAGATGTAAATAATTGATTTAAGATTGAATGAAATCGTTGAGAAATCTTATCAATTGTTTGTACATTGAATAAATCAAGTGATCCATTGATTGTACATGTGAATTGATTAATATTGAGATCATGTTGGATTATAAGTGAGAAATCATACTTATTTCTAATCTCATTATCATTAATGTTCATTACGAAAGGTATTGATGAAAGTTGACTATTACCAATCATTATTAGCTGATTGTCTCTACTTGTCATAGATGGTACAAATTGAAATGATATATCAAGAAATGCTGGTTTTGAAACATTTAGATGTTGATTGAGAATACGTTGAAGAGGATAATAAGAATATTTCATACTATTTGTTGACATCTCTTGAACATAATCAAGTAGATAATGAAAAGTCCAATGAGGATCTAGCTGACATCTCAATGGAATGATATTCTCAAACAATCCAATGATAGATTTTAGTTCATCTCTATAACGATTGTCGATATTCATTGCAATACATAAATCTTTTTCACCATTTGTTAATTTGAATAAATAAACATAGTAAATAGCAAGTGCTAGATGTTCATATTTGATATTGTTTGATGATGCATAGGTAAGAAAATGATGAGAGAGATCTTGACCAAAATCAAAAGAGACAGATTTTCTCCGATCAGTTCGTTGTTTATTCATAAGACGATATCGATCATATGGTAATGATAAAGATTGATCGAGATGACTATCATAAAGTGTATCAAGCCAAAACATACTTGCACCAGTCATGGACATTTGTTGTTCGACGACAGCGTCTAAATAAGAAGAAATAAATAGTTGAAATAGAACAAGAAATTGAATATACTTACAATCGATATAACGTAGAGTAGTCGCATTATCAGTTGTTAGCTGACCTATTTTGTAAGCTTGATCAAGATCATGAAGAAATATATTCATGGATGGATAATCAAAGAAAGCATGATGGAAATTGAAGATAATTATATCTTTATCGGAAAAGATGTTGGTTGAAGAGATTTGTTTATAGTAAATAATATGACATCGAAAGACAAGACCTTGAGTAAGATCGAACAGGTGAGGGTTACATTTCTCATTTTCGATGATATCATTGAGTTGTTCATCAGTTTCATAAGTGCTCTTAGTAATTGTAACCATGTCGTTGTTGATATCTTGTTGAGTGAGAACTCTCTGCATGAGTAGATTTTTATTAGAGTCGTAGATGAGTGATGTATGAAGTGATTCATGTTTGTTAACAACAAGTTGAAAAGCATGACGAAGTTGTTCTACAGATAAAATAGCTCCTGTATAGAAGCGATAGAAAAATGATACATTATGGGTTATCAAAGATGAATGGTCAGTATCGGCATCTCTTTGATTTCCAGACCATATTCGATATTGTGCAAAGGACGCCGGTGCTACAAAAATTAAAGTTTAATTGATTACAATGAATAATCATATTAACCAATTGCTCTTATCATATTATAGTCACTTTTGTTTATCTATTTTCTAACTGAATTAAATCAATATTGTTGCTTGGTATATGAGTGAACAATACAAAATTTAAAAATATGATTCATCAAGATTTGCATCAAAACTAACTATGACTATTAAAAGTTTCTGGTAATGAAGTTTTAAAATAATATGAGAACACTTTTATTAAAAAGGGTTTTGACGAATCTCGTATTATCTCATTTAATTGAGCTCTCGTCGGTGCACATCAGTGTGTGCAATGCAGGTTACATATATTGCTCAAGATTAGAACCATAAATTTTCTGAAAAATAAGTATAAAGAAAAGTTGAAAAGTGAAGCTGAGATCTCAAGTTTAGCTAGATTTTCAAATAATCTTGTTATCATGTACATGTGCGAGAGTAAAGGGCATACTATAAATAGATGAACGACAAAGAAGACATCTGATTTTGCAAGATCATCGTAATAGTGAGATGTTGCTTCTCATTTTCAATTCAACAAACAAGAAAAAACTCGTGTAGTTAGAACATAATAATTCATGCTGTTTTGTCGTATGCTCTCTTAACGCTAATCTTTTTCGTCAATATAAGTATTATAACCTAAAAAACATTTTAAAAATGGGTATACCTTCATTGGCAATATTCTCCAGTTTATGAAACGCTATTGTGTGTATTTCTTCGCTTTCTTCGTATAAAACAAGAGAAAGTTTGCTGATCGATATATTATATCCATTCATTAAAGTATTACTTGATTTATTATCAAAAATCTGCTCGCAAAGATATTTCAGTCTTCGACCTATTATGGCAGCTGTTGATGTATCAAATATATCACGTGAACAAACGAAAGAACAAGACAGCTGATTATCATCCGAAGATGGATTGTATACAAATGTCAAGGAGAAGTCAAATTTAGCCATTTCATATGATTGATTTAACGATACTTGTTCTACATTTACACGATCCAAACATAAGTCATTATTTTCATTTGATATCGTGATGAAATCAAATATCGTCTCAAGAAATGATACATTTGATTGACTGACATGTAAGTCACTAAGAATATGTTGAAGTGGATAATGAGAATGCTCAAGAATTGATAAACATTTTTCTTGTACATATCTAACTACTTCATTAAATGACCAATGAGGATCAAGTTCAACATGATATGGTAATATTGATACAAACATTCCAATCATATTCACTAATTCACTTCGATATCGATTTGCATTGATAGAAGAAATACATAGATCAGTCTCACCATGAGTTAATTTGAATAGGAAGACATAAAATATGGATAATCCAAGTTGAAAAAGTGTGAGATGATGTGACGATGCATAATTCAGAAAAGATATACATAATTCGTCATCAAAAATGATTTGAGCTGAAGAAGCTAAACCTGACCGTTGTTGATTAGTTGATGAACGTTGTCGGTCAACAGGTAATGATAATTGGCGTACGAGATTATATCCTTTGAGCTCTAATTGCCAAAATTCTTGAGGTAATGTCATATTCATTATGTGTTCATGAATAGAATAGTCAATATATTGGAATGAATTATCATCTATAGGAAGCAAATTATTAGATTGATAAGCAAGAGAAAGATCACCAAGGAAAATTGATGTTGATGCTCCATCAAACATTGCATGATGAATACTAATTAATATGTGATCATTTTCAGTCAATAGATCATCATTCTCATATGAGATTCTATCTTGAGATTGATGACAATGACGAAGAATATGACAACGTATAACACGCCCTTGTGATAAATCAAATAAATCTGATTGATTCAATATTTCATCAATAATTTCATTCATATGACGATGATCATCATTATGAAGATTAATGATTGTCAATCCATATGACTTCATATCATCGTTGACAATGACATTTGTATCTGAACAATGTTGCATAATATTATCATTTGTATCATCAATGTAAAGTGCTGTTCGAAGAATATTATGTTTTGCGATAACACTTTGAAATGCATGATGTAATCGAGTAATTGATACATGATCATTCATAGATAATATACGATAGAGTAATGGAATAACATACATATTACTCATTGTTGTTTTGTTGGATGAAAAACGAATTTGTTCATCTAAATAGATTCGTTCTTGTGCAAAAGATGCTGTAGCTAGAATGAGAAAGAAAGTGATGAATATGTAGCTGATGATAATATCTAGTTGAAATTATTCTATTTACCTTGAATGAGATGTAATGAAGACCAAGAATAATCATCCAGAGTGAGAATGGTATTGATGGATTGCTGAATGAGTTGAGCATGATGAATAATTGTTGGATGTTGGAATAGATTGGAAATAGAAAGAGTATTTGGTTCTAAATGAAACTCGATCTTGTATCGATGAAAAAGTTGCATCATAAGTAATGAATGACCACCAATAGTAAAGATATTTGTATCAGTTGAGATTTGATTCTGGTTGAATATCTCACACCAAATATGATGAATACTAACTTCAATATCATTTGTTGGTACTAATAGTTCTATACTGTTTGTGAGATGTATGGATGAGAAGTGAGGTGGTGGAAGAAGTTTTCGATCTATTTTTCCATTTTGATTCAATGGTAATTTCTCAAGAATAACGAAGAAAGATGGAATCATATATGATGGAAGATGAGACTGACAATGTTGACGTAGTTGTCCTTCACTGATATGAGAAGATTGAACATATGCAACTAAGTAATCATCATTCCATTTGATGACAACACAAGTAGATATAGATGTAATGTTGAGTAAACATCGTTCGATTTCACCAAGTTCGATTCGTTGTCCATGTAACTTGATTTGATGATCTTTTCTTCCTTGGTAATGAAGAAGACCATTGCTATCCATTCTAACAAGATCACCTGTTCGATAAAATAGTTGATCATCTATTTGAACAAGAGCTTTTGCAGTTAAATCATCACGACCAAGATAACCAGCAAAAACACCAAGTCCTCCCACTAGTAGTTCTCCTTCTTCCTGAATCATAACAGATTGCAAGAAGTTGTTCAGAGGTAAGCATATGTAACGAGGTAGTAGTTTGCCAATTGGAAGATCATACATGTGAGAGACTACATCAATTAGGTGACATGTAGTTCCAAGTGTGGCTTCCGCAGGACCATAAAGATTCCAAACTTGACAGGATTGTGCAGCAAACTGCATTAGACCTTTGATGAAAACTGATGACACAGATTCACCTATGTTGATAAAGTAATCAATATTTATTTTATTTCGCGTGCTCCAGCTCAACTTACCAACGCAGCAAATATTTCTCATTAGTATCCATGGATGAAGTCTATTTTGGTTGAGGAAGTTACATAAATAATTAAGATAACTCGGAACCGCCACCATATATGTCACTTGCTTCTCATGTAGAATATGGTTGATATATTGAAAATCCATATTACCCTGTGGATGTAGCATGGCTATTGTCGCTCCGCAGATAAAAGATCCTACTATTTCCTGTACATGCGCGTCAAAGGTTGAACTAGCTATTTGAATTACAATGTCACTTTCGTGAAGTGTATTAATCTGAACCAAAGCTATTATTGAATTGATAAAATTCTGCTGACTTAGTTGAACCTAGAAGAAAACTTTCAGTGTTGAATATACATTATGTAAAAATATTTTTATCGTACCGATTTTGGAATTCCAGTTGAACCACTAGTGAAAATAATATAAGCTATCTCATCACCTTTCATTATCACACTTGAAAGGCAATTATTATCCATGTCACTATTCATATAATTAAAATTTAATATTGAATCAATATCTAGTGAAATAATAACATTATCGAAGTTGATCTTAGTTAAATGATGAACAAGAACAAGACGACTTTGAGTTTGTTGTGAGAGTGTATGCAAACGATGTTGTGGATCTTGAGATGATAATGGACAATAAACACCACCAGCCATTTCAATACCCATCATACCAATTACCTAACGAAAAATCAATCTCAAACTCACATCACTCGTTACTCATCTTAATTAACTTACCATTGATAAACTTCGCTCAACACATTGACATACGACCGCACCTGGAGCAATAAGATATTCATTGAGAAGAGAGAGAGATAGTATTTGTACATAATATAGAAGTTCACAATATGTCAATGATTGTTCATCTAGTTCAACAGCTAGTTTTTGTGGATGTTTCATTACTTGATATACAAATTCATGATGAATACAAGTGTGAGCAGATGAAAATGACATTTGTGTATTATTTAATGATTGCATTAAATATCGTTCATTTGGTAACGTTAATGATATTTCATAGATTGATTTCTGTGTTTGGTCACAAACAGATGTAAATAATTGATTTAAGATTGAATGAAATCGTTGAGATATCTTATCAACTGTTTCCACCTTGAATAAATCAAGTGATGCATTGATTGTGCATGATAGTTGATCCATGTTCATATCATGATAAATAGAGAGAGAGAAGTCGGATGCACTTAGTATCTCATCTTCATTAATATTGAATGGGAAAGATGCTGGAATAATTTGAGAATCACCAATCATAATTGCATTGTTCGTGATACATGATATAAATTCTAGAGATGTATCCAGAAATGCATGTTTTGAAATATGTGGATGTTGATCGAGAATATGTTGAAGTGGAAAATATGAATATTTAATACTATCTGTTGTTATCTCTTGAACATGTTTGAGTAATTGATGAAAACACCAGTGAGGATCTAAATGACATCGTAATGGAATAATATTCTCAAACAGTCCAATGATTGATCTGAGTTCGTCTCTATATCGATTATCATTGATGTTCATAGCAATACATAAATCTGTTTGTCCCTTAGTCAGTTTAAATAAAAAGATGAAATAAATAGCAAATGTGAGATGTTGAAGAGATATGTTGTTTGATGATGCATGAGTAAGAAAGTGATGTGAGAGATCTTGACCAAAATCAAACGAAATTGATGTTCCACGACCAGTTCGATGTTCATTTGAGAGACGATGTCGGTCAAATGGTAATGCTAAAGCTTGATCGAGTTTACAATTATGAAGAGTATCAAGCCAAAACATACTGGCACCAGTCATTGACATTTGTTGTTCAATAACAGCGTCTATTATGTAATTAAAGAAAAGAATGTATTAGGCAAAAGCGAAAAATATAAGAACATATAATATTTACAATCGATATAACGTAGACTAGTGTTGTCATCATATAATAATTGACCTGTTGTATATGCTTGATTGAGATCATGGAGGAATATAGTCATTGATGGAAAATCAAATAGAGCATGATGAAAGTTGAAGATGAGGATATCTTTGTCAGAAAGAAGATGATTTGAAGAGATTGATTTGTAATAAACAAGATGACATCGAAAGACAAGACCTTGTGCAAGATCGAAAAGTTGAGGATTATATCTTTCGTCGTGTAAAATCTCATTTAATTGTTCATCTGTTTCATAAGTAGTTTCAATAAATGTAAATAGTTGTCTATTATTATTGTTCATATCAATGATTTGTTGCATGAGTCGATTGTTTTCTGTATGAAAGATGAGTGATGTTCGAAGAGGTTCATGTTTTGTAACGATTAGTTGAAGGGCATGATGAAGATGTTGTACTGAGAAAGTATGGTGTGAGTACAGAGAATAAACAAAAGGCATGTTGTAGATTGGTACTTGTGATATGTGAGGAATGAAATGAATAGATTCATTATGCCATAGTCGAATTTGTGCAAAAGATGCTGGTGCTATATAAAAGAGAAAATAATCAAATATGATTTATAATATTGCTTGTGATATTTATTGAGAGTTATACAAAAGTTTCATCGGTAACATTAATCCGTATTGTAAGCGAAAAATGACGGTTGAGTCACAAATGTTAGCTGTTAAAATGAGAAGAACACAAACCGTAGAAGATTTTACTTTATGACATAGTCATCTACAGGAGAACCATCTGAAATAATGGATTCATGTTGATATATATGAGAAAAAATCTTGAGGACGGGTGTGCGTATACGTATCTCTATGAATAAAAAATCCCAATTCACATCCACCCATAGTCACACGCTCACCCTAAGGCTAAGCACCGCTTCTCGGATAATCCAAGCAATATAAAAAGCAAATTCTCGATGATATCTCTGCACAACACATTCATTGTCAATATAAATGTTCATTAAGAAAAAATTTGTCTAGATAAACATACCCTCATTCATCATATGTGATTGTCGATAAAACATAATATCTTCCATTTCTTCACTTTCTTCTGGTAGAATAAGATTAAACTTCGATATAGATGTAAAACATGTATCAATTTGATTGATAATTTCATTTGATGAAAAAAGTTGTTTGAAACAATATTCTAATCTTCGACCTATATTTGTAACTGTAATCTCATCAAATAAATCATGTGAACAAGTTAAACGAAATGATAATCTATTATTTTCCAACATTGGATTATAGATAAATGTTAACATAAAATCAAACTTAGCTACTTCAAACGATCGTTCAAATGACACTTGTTTGAAACTTGTTCCATCTAAAGATAATTCATCGCTGTATGACGATATAGTAATAAAGTCAAATGTTGTTTCGAGAAATGAAATATTTGATTGATTAATATGTAAATTAGCAAGGATATGTTGAATTGGATAATAAGAATGTTCAAGAATTGATAAACATTTTCCTTGTACATATTTAACGAGTTCATCAAATGACCAATGAGAATCAACTTGAACACGATATGGCAATGTTGAAACAAACATTCCCATTGTATTCTGCAGTTCAGTTTTGTATCGATTGGCATTAAGACAAGAAATACATAAATCGTTTTCACCATGAGTTAACTTGAAAAGAAAAGCATATAATATACTCAGACCTAACTGAAATGGTGTCACATGATGTATTGAAGCATAATCAAGAAATGATTGTGAAATTTCGTTGTCAAAAGAAATGTGAGTGACAGAAGCAGAACTCGATCGATTATTATTAGACGAACGATGTCTATCAAATGGTAATAATAATCGGGAGTCGAAATTGTATTCTGCTAATTGTAAATACCAAAATTCACGAGATGTTGTCATATCAATTAGACGTTCATGTATACTATAATCTATATATTGTAATGATTCATCATCGTCTTCTATTGATATTGTATTAGTATTATAAGCTAAACATAGATCATTGAAAAAGATCGAAGTACTTGCTCGATCAAATGCTGCATGATGAAAAGCAATGAGAAGAACATCAGAATTAGTTATGAATTCATTCCTATTATTCTCATTTTTATTTAATGATATTTGATGTCTCAGAATTTCAGCATGAAAAACACGACCATTTGATAAATCAAAGAGCATAGGATTAATAGTTGTTTGATAAATAATATTTTGTAGTTCATTTTCATTTTGAAATGTTTGATTCACAGTTATTGTAAATGCTTTATGTATATCTGTGATCCATTGTTTCAAAACACCATCATCATTGTTAAAAATAAGAGATGTACGTAATATTTTATGTTTATTCAAAACATATAGAAATGCTTGTAATAAACGATTGACTGATAATGATCCTTGAACAACTTGTAAAGTCGACACTTCATTATAGATAGCAATATCACTCGAAAAACGAACTTGTTCATCAAGAAAGATACGCTCTTGAGCAAAAGAGGCAATACCTATGAATTAAATAATAGAAATTATTTTGGTAATTTCCTAGTGAATATTTCTACCTTCATTTATGTGTAATGTGTGCCATTGTGTTGTCTTGATACTATTCATTATCACTGTTTGAAGTAATTGTGAATGTTGACAGATAGTTGGTTGTTGAAGAAATGGAGCTATGGAAAGTGAATGAGCATCAAAGTTAAATACTGATTGATAATGATGATAAAGTTCAATAAATAAAAGTGAATGACCGCCAACACTAAAGAAACTGGTAGTTCCAGAAATGTTATTTTGATTAGAATGAAGAACTTGACACCAAATAGTGTGTATACGTTCTTCGAACTGATTCAAAGGAGTATCAGATTTATCGGTTGATAACAAAGTCGATAACGAAAATTGGGGTGAAGGAAGTTGTTTTCGGTCTACTTTTCCATTTGGATTCAAAGGTAATTTATCGAGTATGATAAAGAAAGATGGTATCATATGTGGTGGAAGATGAGATTGGCAATGTTCACGTAGTTGTTCTTCATTCACATGAGAAGATTGAACATATGCAACTAAATAATCATCATTCCATTTCATGACAATACAAGCAGATGTAGATGTAATGTTAAGTAAACATCGTTCGATTTCACCAAGTTCAATTCTTTGTCCATGTAGTTTGATTTGATGATCTTTTCTTCCCTGATAATGAAGAAGACCTTTGTTATCTATTCTAACAAGATCACCTGTTCGATAAAATAGTTGATCATCTATCTCAACAAGAGCTTTTGCAGTTAAGTCATCACGTCCAAGATAACCAGCAAAGACACCTACTCCACCTATAAGCAGTTCACCTTCTTGACCGACAACAGATGATTGTAAATATTCGTTTGTAATCATACATCGATAGTTTGGTAGTGGACGTCCAATTGGAATGTTGATCATATTTAGATTTCTATCTATGACATAACTTGTGCAATCAATTGTTGTTTCAGCAGTACCATACATGTTCAATAATCGACAAGTGTGTATTACAGTATTTAACATTAAATTTATTAGTTTCAGAGAACAAGGCTCACCTAGACATGAAATCATATAATATCAAAAATAATACATTTCATATAAACATCACATACCGCCACTGCAAACTGCTCGCAGGTATTGCACAGCATTATGATGATTTTGTTGTTGTAGAAAAGTGAAGAAATTATTAATTAAAGTTGGAACAGAAGCAAAATAAGTAATATTCTTCTCTATCATAACATTGACAAGATACTCAAAGTCCATGATTCCTCTTGGATGTAGCATAACTAATGTGGCGCCAATTAATAGAACGCCAACTATTTCTTCAAGATGAACGTCAAAAGTACTTCTAGACATCTGAATGGTTACATCATCCTTCTTCAATGCGCTAACACTCACAAATGAGTACATATAACGAGTAAAATTTTCATGGCGAACTTGAACCTGTTAGAATGGTGCGAAATAGAAACGGAAGATAGAAATTCTAATGTTAACTTACCGCTTTTGGTATTCCAGTTGAACCACTTGTGAAAATGATATAAGCAATATCATTAGGTGTGACTGCAATACTTGATAGCCGATCAACATCAGCACCGCTCATTACATCATTATTAGCGAATATTGAATGAATATCAATCGTAAGAGTATCATCGTTAAATTTTGTTTTCGTTAACCAATGAACAAGAACAAGACGACTTTGAGTTTGTTGTACAAGTGCATGCAAACGATGTTGTGGATCTTGAGATGATAATGGACAATAAGCACCACCAGCCATTTCAATCGCCATAATACCAATCACCTAGTCACAATAAATCTCAAACTATCATCAATAGTTACTTCTTCTAATCAACTTACCATCGAAAGACTTCGTTCAACACATTGACACACGATCTCACCTGGAATGACATGATATTCATTGAGAAGAGTGAAAGATAATACTTGAACATAATGCAATAGTTCACAATATGTCAATGATTGTTCATCTAGTTCAACAGCTAATTTCTGTGAATGTTTCACTACTTGATATACAAATTCATGATGAATACACGTGAGAGTAGATGAAAATGGTATCTGTGTATTATTCAATGATTGCATTAGATATTGTTCATTTGATAATATTAATGACAGTTCATAGATAGGTTTGTTTGTTGTACAGTCGAAAGACGTCAATTGTTGATGTAACATTGTCTGAAATCTTTGTGCAATTATACAAACGGTTTCAACATTAAACAGATCAAGTGATGCATCGATTGTGCATGAGAACTCATTTAGATTTAGATCATGTTCAAAACTGACAATGAAATCAAATTTACTCATTATTTCATCGTCACTGATCT